AGAAGAAAAAGAAGTGACCGATTCGCAAAATTTGAAAGTAACCAGGGAAGCATTGCCAACATGGCCAATTGCGCACTTCAAACAGCGAATATGAGATCCGTAAAAGCAGCAGTCCTTCCATCTGGATGATTTGCTTGTCGGGCTTCTGCATACGTAAGTACATGTGTGTCTTTAGTAAGGACGTACTTTTTGGGGCGGGATAGCATGCTGGCACATAAGGCAAGTCCGAGAGAGTAGCTCGTTTCCTCACTCTCCCAAAAATTTTTCAAATTCCACGTGAAAACGCATACATCACGGCCGCATGCGATGTTCGTACACGGCTACTTGGAAGATATAGGATTGCCCGTTTAACAAGAATGAACTTCTACAAAGCCAGAAGAGTCGAGTAGTACATGCTTTGAATGAGTGCAGCAGCAGTGAAAAAAGAAGAGCGGATACGGCTCGTTTGGAAAAGTCTATGAATCGCATGCACTTGAGGTCTCGTCAAGTTTTCTTATTATTTCTTGTTTCGACCAATTTTTTTATTCATTTTCAAAGGCGAGTCTTGAAAAAAAAAAACTTTGAATTATTTTTCTTCATTTCGGAGGATATATACTGAAATTAATACATGAAATTAAAAAGGAAAAATAATCTAATTTTGGAATATGTATTATAAATGTATTTCGATTAGGAGATTTTTTACTGTAAAGCTTGAATAAACAAGCAACTCAGTGGGTTCGCCTTTGAAAAATTCCTAGGCACTGTATGTGTGTATCGCAAGAACACAATAATACCAGGCAGGCGTCGTATTATAAAAGCCACAAGAGAGAATGAGCCTTTAACCCCGCCGTTGACCAACAGTCGTCGGCAAAGAATCGAGCGGGATAGACAGAGAAAACAAGAAAGAGACTGGGCGCATTGAAGAGTCGGATTGCAATAATTATCGGCGCGGAAAGGTAGCGGCGGTGGCTTGGAGAAAAAGGAGATGTCCGGGCGCATGCAGATGTGTGCGCGCGATCGAAAAAGGGAGCGATGAACGATGAAAACTTTGACCAGCACAATGCATCTCCTGCTGTTGGCTTATACCTATACCTTCTCTCTTTCTCTTCCTCTCCCCCGCACATGTAAACGGAAGATGTGCTTGGACAAAAAAAATGCATTCTGAGAGAAAGACGCAGAGACCAGGTCGATAATCTGCACTCGAGTTTCGTCGCTCGATAATATTTCCAATGGAGCATACATTAATTTTTTTACGTAGCGAATGATTTAATGTTTCTCGACACTCTGATTATTTGTGCCAAGTATATCGTTTACGTCAACTCGACGACAAAATGAAGAAAAAAGGAAAAGGAAAAAATAAGAATTAATTAATGCTGCTATCAAAGTCTCTTTCCTGACAGGTCAGAATTTCCTTGAAATGCATGCTTTATCGTGAATTCTGAAAAAAAAACTTTAAGTTAATAACGCACTTAAGTGTACGGCGGAATGGAAAAAAATTAATTAACGCTATCAACGTTCTCTTTCCGCCTGTGTCCGATCTCCTTAAATAACAACGAGTGTTCAAGATAAGGGCATACACGCACAGGCGTTTCACATTTTTTTAATAATCTTTCTTCGTTGTCTTTTCCGTCTTGCGATAAGTAGGCGGCGAAACTTTGTCGTTTGACAGACAGATAAACAGAGATTTATCGAGAAAAAGCACGCGCGCTCTCGCTCCTTGCGAGCAGGAACCGGATGTCGCGATTGTGTCTCTATCTCACAAGAATGGACTCGATGATGCTTGCATTCTGGCATGACAAAGATGACTGCAATGCATCACAGATAATTATGTTTTCTAAATAATTTTAAGGAAAGATCTTTTAATACCTTTACCTAATGCGTTAACAGTTGTTTAGATAGATACAAATCATTCCTTCTGATCAGTGTCATTGTATTCACAAGTTGAATCGAGATACTATTATTCTTTTCCTATACTTTATAAAGCGACAAGTTTGTATAGCAAATCAATCTGTATGTAAGTTCGAAGCTTCAATAAATAAAAAGCAACGAATTATGGAAATGTAAGCACTCTGTGAGCACCTTCAACGAACTCATGAATATTCTGCAAATAAAAGTTGCTATATAAATAAATGAAAAAAAATTGATGAAAACTATAAATTGTAAGTTTTAAAATGCATTTGATCGATTCAGTTGAGTTGGTTAGCAAATGGAGAAGAAATAATAAAATTGCGATTATGAAAAGTATAAAAAAAATACTCGAGTGTAATCGCAATCTTGTAAATCTTGCGAATAATTCATAAGCCCAACGAGTAGGTCTCTTTTCCTATAGCATTTGCAGAATACCTTGCATAGAAACAGTAGTAGTCAGACATGCGATAGATTCGTGATCTCTGCAACGTGCATATAGGTGGTCTTTATCGCTCGATTACGTGTCGCTTCAACGGCGCAAATACTTTGCGACATAATGGCAAAGTAGAGCGAACGCGGCCTCGGAGTTACATGATCTTATCCTGCGCGGCCCGTTTCTATGAAATTAGCCGTCTTTTACGAATACAACACATACAATCGGCATTCTCGCGTGAGTCGCGTTGCTGCAGGCGCTCTCTTGATGGATATAGAAATATGGATGGATCCGCGTGACTTTAACTGCCACAAGCATAATTACTTGGCTTGTCATGGGGTTCAAATAATATCGACGTAGGTGCAATTGCTCTGTTTCTATTGAACTGTCTTTTGCTTTTCAAATTAACGTTTATTTTCACAAATGAGCGTCTCGTTTCTCACGAATTTGAGTGTCAATTTGTCTGTACTAAATTAAATATGCAGATGAACTTCGATAGCAAACAAAAATAAAAATCCAAGAGATATTTCAACATCGTTATTCGCGAATCGGCATCGCGCCATTTGCTTTCAAAGTGATATTTTCGTGATGGTTGCAGAACGCATGGTACGCAAACAAAGTGCCTAGATTTGTCGAACGAAAATTAGTAAGATGACGCAGGACTGCATGCGAACACAGTTGATCTAATCAATAATCGTCGTGCGTTATCGCGCATGTACACAGAAGCCTTATACGCGCGACCCACCTCTCAAGCGCGCGTGTACGTCCTCTCTTGTTCTCTTCGCGTGGAGAGCACTCCTTTATAACGTTTGGAGGCCGCGATTGGCCGAGCGATCTGGCAGGTACTCAGGCGAGCGAAGATCCGGCCTCTCTCTACTCGCAATGATTTTCTCGTTGGTATATATAGCGGAAGGAGTATTGTCCGCCATTGCCTGACGGCCATTTATAAAAGGCCTCGATCATTCGCGAATCCCTCTCTCTACTTCGATCGCTTGATTCCTTTCACTCGCGTTCTTCCGCTTCGTTCTTTTCCTCGCTCTTCTTTTTGTTTTTGTACGCTTTGTCTCGCCAGTAGTAGTTCGAACGCTCAGATTAATTAACGACCGAGAGAGAGCGGGAGAGAGAGAGAGAGAGAGAGAGAGAGACAGGATAACGCCAAGGTTGTCGCTTGATCAGCGGCCAGCAAAAGAGAACGAGATAGCAGCTCTTTTCGACCTCTTTTGCTACTTCGCTTTTATTTAGCCGCAGCCTGCTCACGTATACAAACTACTACGATTACGAGCGTTGGAAGCTTGGTCGTCGTCATCTCTATCGCTTTAAGGGCTGTTACTCAAAAAAAAGGCAGAGGATCATAAAGCTTGTCCGCCTAAATTTCGCTGGCAATCGCGAAAATTCTTTCCTGGAAGTATTTTACAAAGGTTCTTTTACTTGCCGTGACGTGCTATTGGCTAGAAAACGAAACCGAGTTTTCCCGTAATATGCGTTCTCGAGTGGAAGCATATTGATTGTCAAGCTACACGTCGAATCAGCCACGATGTTAGCCTACGAGTTCAGCCAAGAAATTGTAGAAAAAACAAGAGAAAGAGGAAAATACTTTGGCTGATTCATAACTGCGCTTTGTCTATATCTATCTGCTGCGATACGAGCGTGGGAGTATTAAACGAGCTTGGAACTTCATGCACTTTTCGAGGGGCCTGTCCCCGCGAAAAACAATTAAGCTTGCCGATCCGCGCGCTCACTCGAGCGCTGCTAGAGGAAGAAAAAGAGGGTGGGTACAAAGGGGAGTGGAGGATCGGAGGTAAGAGTAGCGGTAGCAGCGCGTCTTGTATGATAATGCGACGGGCTGGATACTGCCGCGGAAAAGCTCGCCGAGACAGGAAGAGAGGGTTCTTACTTTGCATTCCTTTGTACGGCGTTATTCTTGGCTCCGCCACCATGTCCTTCATATCCCTGCTGCATCAGCCTCCACTTAAAGTTTGAACTAACGCCGAGCCGTTTTTAATGCACTTGTCTACTTCAGATGTGCCTTCATAAAGACGCGCATAGCGTACCTATATATCTACGTGTGTCTGTATGTGTGAGCATGCCGCGACCCCCTCGAGAAATGCGAAAGAGGGTGAGTCAAGCGAGATGCAATACTGACGCATACCGGCCGCCACAGACGCAGCCGCAGACTTTTTCATTCCGATGCATTGTTTTCCCTTGTCCTTCAAATTGCCAGAGTCAAGATTTTTTTTCGCTTTGCTTACCTGAACCTCCCTTCCTTTCCGCTTTTTGGCCTTCATCATTTAATGATTCGAAGCTTTCCGTCAGCTTTTCAAGGAGTACTCATTATAGTTGAGCCAATTGCCCCCACGAAAAAGTAAACACAATCTTATTTTTGAAAACCAACTTAAGGTCCACATGAAATTTATTACAAAAAATTATCATCTTTCAAACGGTTTTCAAGTAATCTACGATAATATGGACGTCAACAAAGTACCGATATTTACAAAAGTTTTCTGCGGTTATACCATGACTTCAAAAACAAAAATAACAACTGCTACTTTTTTTCTTACTCTTCAATACAGCCAATTAAAAATTCACTCGCGGAGAATAATATACGAGCTTTTCAAAAAAACGGATCGATATAACAAAAAAAAGGACTCGGAGAAAAGGTATCACGTGCATAATGACTTACCTCTTTCGTTTGCGTATAACGCGGTGTATCAGCGGACCAGCCAGCTCGCCTTGGTGGCGTTATATTCGTCAATCTGCGCAGAAAAAGAAAGAAAACACGGTCATTAGTTTTCATTGCTGCAAGGTTCGCTTGAGTGGACAACGAGAGACTATACAGAAAATTAAACGAAGGGAGGGAAAATCCGTACATAAGAGAGGAAGATGTTCTTCATGATGACAACCAAAGAAAGGAAGTGATGACGATAATTGCGACGTTGCTAAGGGTAACTGCTGCAAGCCAATCTCTGCTGCCATATGACTCAGTGAAAAAGAAAAAAGAAAGTCTCTTCATGAAATGTCGTCATCGTAGACGTCGTCGGCGTCGCCGCAAGTCATCCAGCTTTTCAGTGCGCGTGCATGCGTATTAATCAAGCAGTGAATGATTCAGTTGGCTCGTACATAAGCGAGAGCGTGTGAGGTGGGTTAATTGTCGTCGTCGTCGTTGTCGTTGTCGTCGTCGTCGTCGTCGACGTCGTTGCTCGCGCCTTAGAATTCCAAACGAAGGGGAGAGAGAGGAGAACGACACCGCACCACGGTTTTTCTATGCGCGTGAGGGCCGCAATTACCGAGGGTGTACTACCACCAGCCGACTCAATTGTCGCAAATTAACTGTCCTCTATCCAAGCAAACCAAAAGGGGCTTTTTCATTTTCTCTTCTTTATTAGGCGTGTGCCAAGTGCTGTGATAGCTGTAATAGGCTCTTATTCGTGTCGTTTACATTTGCATGATAATTGTCGTTATTAGTTCTTTTACAAAAGTCAATTGCTTCTGCCAATGACTTGAGGATCTATCATATCTCGAAATAGTTTCTAAAAATATTTGATAAATTTACAAATTAATCTAATGAAGCATCAGCACTCGCAGACAACTCATCAGCGTCATTTTACTGCAGACTAATTCAGATCAAGCACAAAGAAAATGCACACAAGACGACGACGAAGCAGTAAGCTACAGTTTGGTGAAAATGAGATAAGCGCAAACGGAGACAGAAAGCTTCCGAATGAGTGCATACATGATTCAGAGAAAAAGTCTCACGCTTAGCCTTGTTCACCCTTGTCAGCTCTCGTTCTCTTTTGCGTGTAAAACTTCTTGGCGATGTAATTAGCGCTACATCTTTAAAGGACAAACGAGAGAACAATCCCTCTGGTAATTAGTATGCATCTCGACAGTACAGCGATTACCAATGGCACTATCGTCGTCGCACTCCTACTTCTTACTGAAAAAAAACGACGATGACTATTCTCCCGTTGTCGTGATTTTTCCATTTTTCGTGCATACACAAGTGGATACCCTTATACGCGAGAGCAAATTCTTTATTTGCTCTTTTACTCCTAAAACGCTCCGTTTTCCATTATCTTATTTACTTTTCTTGCACCACCACCTACAGACACCGCGGTTTTCATATGCGTGGTCTTTTTCATGATTCGCACTCGGTTCAATATCTCTCTGTTAATTTGTTTATTTATTCTATATTTTTCATGTACCTTTTCGCTTTTTGTCTTTTATTTTTATTCAATCAACTTCCTTCTTTTTTTGGTACTCAGTACGTCACCAACATTTTAATTTAGCGAATGAAGCTCATTGATAAATAACGTTTATGCTAGGTGAAAGATTCAGTGAAGTAAATAATATTTTTCCTCCTTAAACTGGTTAAATAATTGAAGATTCACAAAAGATGTAAAAGAGTTTGATAAAAAGTTTGAATATTGCAAACGTTTAAAGGGGCGGTTACCAATCGGCGTAGCTCACCAAACGCGAGCTCTGGAAGGCATTCTCATCGCTGTAGTTCGGTGAGAGAAAGAGAGGGAGAGAGAGAAAGAGAGAGAGGTCCTTGCCACGCCACCTACAGGCATTATACGCAAAACCCTATTATACGGCTTTCGTTACATCGCTGTAGTAGCGCGTCGCCCATTGAACGAGAAATCAACTGTACTTTCCTCTCGTGTAAATTTTCACGATCTAATCCAAACCAAATGCCTCTTCTCTTTTATTTATATTTTTTCAGCAACATTTATGTGAATAGGACGCATTTCCGCTGCTGCGATGCTGAGCTTGAGATATAATGCTATTCTGAATTTTACTCATGCGAAATCTTTTATTCCGAGTGTTATATTTGAATAAACAGTGAATATACGCTTAACAAATGATTACTTGGGTTGAATTGTCTCATGGTACTATCATGAACCTGTTCCCGAATAATAAAACATTTATCTGAAAATATAAGTTTTTCAAGGCAGTACTTCGTTAAGTGATGGAATTTTTTATGAAAGGATATAATACGCGATTCTTTTTTCAGCCTCTTCAGTCAACAATAAATCTTCGGATATATCGGCCGCGCGAGTGAATAAAAACAGCTGAACAGTGAATAACTTGAATATCCAATAGACCAAAATAAATTTGGCCTTGAAACGAACCCACCAAATTCAGCAAGCTCCTCTGCTCATATAAATGTATACCACACTTGGTGGTATCTCTCCAGCGTTAAAGCAGCATCCGGAAAATTGTTGACTGAAAAAAATTACCAATGAAGCGCTCTACTTTAAACACTCACATTATCCGTATAGCATACTCTCACTAGCGGTGCGAATCATTGAAAAAGCGGGACATTTTATTGAGAGTGCGAGTTTCGGGTGCTGGGTCAATGCCACGTTTTGAAAACGTGATAGAGAGAGAACGCGAATATCGTGGCTCAACGAACTTTTGCATAATAAGCCGGCGGCAGTATAGTCGCGCGTACGATGTGTGTGTGTGTGTGTGTGTGTGTGTATGTGTGTGTATGAGGAAAGCCTGCTGTACACGAATGTCAATGCACCGGCGCGCACTAACTCGAATATTTTCATTTGATTGCGTTAATTAAATTCGAATCTTCCTCCTCTGCAATGAGTGTCACTATGCTCTATATATATCTAAACCTCCACACCACGCCAGAACGTTTTGACCTTTGAAGTCGTTATATTCACTCACTCGCTCTCTCTTGCATAGCGTATAATGACTCTTGCGCAAGTACTCGTATCAATTATGATGATGCTGTCAATTTCCATGTTTTTCTTCTTTCGTACGAGTTTTTCCGCGTCGTTTCCTATTTTCATTTTTATCGCGTTTATGCATAGATTAAGATATTTGATTTCGATAATCATCAGTTATATTGTTTAAAAATAAAATATATCTAACAATAATTCTATCTTTTGAAACTCAATGAAAATCCAAGAGTCGAGAGAAATTCGCAATCGCTGACTTAAAGCGAAAGTATAAGGACAACTTTACCAACAACCGCGAGTTGACGAAACTTGGTGAATTTGGCACAAGAAATGAGACATAATGCACGGAGAGAACGGATATTGCCTGGCACTTAGCAGCGACGTAACTCCTTAATTACTTCTCGACTTGTTACACCCTCGCTCGACTGTCTATTTCCTTAGTTGCTTCTCTTTCTCTCTCGCAGTTGTAGTCAGCCCGTAACCGCACGCGTAGTCTAGCTCTACAGGCTTATCTTCACGATTGTGTCATTTCGCGCACTAAAGATTTTTAAGCATTCAGAACAGTCGGCCGAGCCGTTTAAGCCCAGTCTGACATTTCTAACGACATCTTAGCTCGCAGACAAGTTTCTTGAGGTAAACCATCGTGGGAATATCCCTTCGTCTAAATACAGTTAATCAAGAAACTGGCGTGACGCGCTGGAAATCTCTCCGGTGAGGCTTAGCTATCAAGTTTTCTAATTTGTCGACATCTATATCCTCGCGGGGCTAATTGCTTCAGGAAAATTTATTAAGAGATACGGAAGAAGTGAAAGGAAGCGCAAAATAGCAAGAGAGTTAAGATGATTTTGTGTAATGGAGACGCCGCGTCGCCGAGTTTAATTCTGTCGCCGATCTATCACTCAAAAGGCTCTCCAAGCTTCCTCTCTCTCACTTTCGCAGTGTATCCGCCTTCCTAGCTATATCAACTCTTGCGTACAGCAATTCTTCCTTTAATTTCACTTTTATGAGCTTACTTTGATTAGTATTCAAGACTACCATAGTGTTTCTTTTAGTTTATCCTTGACTGGCAATGCATAAGCTTATCTTAAATTCACTCAGTCACCGTCAATAATAAGCTGACTAGCTCCCTTCGAAAATTCGTCATTCGTTACATCAACGAGATGCACTGGCGAGACAGTTGGGCAGTCGACGCCGTCGCCGTCGCCGCTGGTAAATTTTACGGGCGCAGCGGAAATGTGTAAATATCGGTGCACCACGAACGCGAGCGAGAGCTCTTATCATATATACAAGGGGAGAAATGAAAGGCCCGCCCTGATGTCAATGCGACGACGACGATATGATATATATACATATATAAATACACGAAAACGTCGAGCAAGCAAATATTTGAGAGTCTTTGCAGCGATAAGGAGATTACATTGTACGCTTGGCATTTTATGCAATTGAAGGGAGTGTGATTTGTTTAGGTGCGTAGTAACTACGACCAGATGCATGATAAGAGCAAATAAGTGAGAAAGAGACAGTATAACAGCTGTCATCTACGAATATGCATGTATTGTGATGAGTGGTTTGCACACTGATTACGGGTCAAAGGCCTCTTGCGTCTAGTTTTACTCTTGATAAGTACGATCATTATTTTTTCTTCTCTATCGCGTTACCATGATTTTCGAAAATACTATAATTGTAATTGGTTTATGTTTCGGTCACATTATCGCAATATTTCCGGAATAATCTTTTTGCTAACTTTTATTCTGATAATGGTAATTTTCTTCAGTCTTAGTGGATTAGAAACTTTATATGGAAAAACTTTCGATGATGTGCTATCAACATTGTTTCAGTACTTTAATCTTTTCACATATTCGAGTATATTTAAATGAATAAAAGAGCTTTGGTTTTATAATGTTGTTGAATTCTTTCTAACAGTTCGATTTCATAAAGTCTATATAAAATAAAGTGTATATCAGTAAACAAGCTTTCCTCAGAAGTTATACAAAATATTCAATTTATTTTGTGTTCATGCAAATAAGAATGATTAAAACTAACGGCTTTTCGAAATG